TTTTAGCTAAAAGTCTGGGGCCTACCACATTGGGTCAGAGCCTGATGATTTCCCTCAGGAAGGGAAAAGTACAACTACAGCACCCTGTCATGGAAACCTCAAACCTTGACTTTTTTAAAGAAAATATTTTATTATTTTTATTTTATGTGTATGAGTGTATTGCCTGCATGTATGTGAATGTACCTGTGTCATGCAATGCCGCAGAGGTCAGAAGACGGCATCAGATTCCCCTGGAACTGGAGTTAAGGATGGTTCATAGCCTCCATATGGGTGCTGGGAATCGAACCTGGGTCCTCCTCTGCGAGAGCAGTCAGTGCTCTTAACCCCTGAGCCATTCCTCCAGCCCAAACCTTGTCTTTTTTTTTTTATTTTTATTATTTTTATTTTATGTGTATATGTGTATTGCGTGTCATGCAATGCCTGCGGAGGACAGAAGAGGCTGTCAGATCCCCCTGGAACTGGATTTACGGACAATTGTTAGCTGCCATGTGGGTGCTGGGATTCGAACCCAGGTCTTCTGCAAGAACAACCAGTGTTCTTAACCACTGAGCCATCTCTCCAGCCCCAAGCCTTGACTTTTATAAGTCAAAAACTCACATTTCTTTATTTTGGAAATAGGGTCTCCTTGTAGCCCCAGCTGGCCTAGAACTTGCTATGTAGAATAGACTGGCCTTGTACTCATAGAGATCTACCTGCCTCTGCCTTCCAGTGCCAGAACTAAAGGCATAGGCCACCCTGCTTTGTTTTTTGATAATAGAATTTATGATACAAAATATCCTTTCAAATCTTCCTTTTGGCATGTTGGTGTTGGGTCCTTAGGACAAGTGAAAAAAACCTTTGATCTTTAGCTGATAATCCCTGGGCACTACTGGCTTTTTGGGTTTTCTCCAGCTTCTTGCTTAGTGTGATAAATCGCTCCTTTGTCTAATCTGGTAGCCGGTTGACACATGTGATTATTTATTTTAAATTAATTATACTTAAATATGGATTTTATACTCAGTTGGACCAGTCACATTTCAGGTATCTAGTAGCTACATTAGTGGTTACTATTTTGGATAGTACAGATTATAGAACATTTCTATCACTGTAGAAATTGAACTGGACAAGAGGCGATTACTTTGGATCAAAGTAATACTGTAGCTTCATATACCCTAAAGCAGAGCTGTTTGGGAGACTCCACCAAACTGCAGAATTTGGAACTGACAATCTACATCTCTGTAAGGCTCTTGGATGTCTCAGTCCTGTGATGAACAGTGACCAGCTGGGGAGCATTGCCCACAGTTGAGTCAGCTTGGGCTCTATCCCTGCTCATGCACTCTGGGCCTGGGCTTAGTGCCCACAGGACTTTGGGAATGATCTCTATGGAGTCTAGAGAGCTGTCACCACCTTCTTGGTGATAACAAGTGCTGAGGGACTGACTTTGGTGTAACAATGAGAATTGCTAATCCTCCTGAGCTCTATGTTGTTTTGGTTGGCCTGGAACTTCTGTGCTCAAGCCGAGGCAACAGGCCCAAGCTATCATTCCTGGCATTGAAACTTCCTTCCATCCGTCCCTCCCTCCCTCCCTTCTTCCTTCCTTCCTTCCTTCCTTCCTTCCTTCCTTCCTTCCTTCCTTCCTCCCTCCCTTCTTCCTTCCTTCCTCCCTCCCTTCTTCCTTCCTTCCTTCTTTCCCTCCCTCCCTTCTTTCCTTCCCTCCCTTTCTCCCCCTCCTTCCTTCTTTCCCTTCCTCCCTCCCTCCCTCCCTTGCTTCCCTTCCTTCCTCCCTCCCTCCCTCCCTTGCTTCCCTTCCTTCCTCCCTCCCTCCCTCCCTTTTCTTCTTTCCTTCCTTTTTCTTTCTCTGTCTCCTTTATTTACTTATTATTGTGATGATGAAGACTGAAACCAGGACCTTGCACATGCTAGGAAAGGGCCCTTCTACAGAACTGTAACCCAAACACAGAAACATGACATTTTGGATGACTTGATGGGGACAAACAAAGCCAGAGCATTTTCATTTGAGATCAGGTTGCAAGGTTGGGTTGGGCTCCGATTGGCCATTGCCTTTGTATTTCCTTGGAAGCTTTGACTTCTACCTTCTCGCCATATAAGTTTGTTTCATCTGAACCAGCAGATTAAGAGAAGATAATAGACTCTGCCTTGATTGTGAAGCATAATGCCTCAAGCTGCTAGTTGTACGTTGAAATTGATTTAGAATGGCACAGGCAGGGAATACCCATGCCAGCCACGGTTTTCTTCTTTATATCCTGCACTTGATCTTTGCAAAAGGCTGAGGTGATTTCTCTTTATATCGTGAATGGGCAGGTGAAACTATCTCTTTTACAGTTGTGAATTCGATGCAGGGAAAGCTTTGTCGCTGTGAGGGAAAGGTTGAGAAAATCAAGTCCTTTGTTTTTCTGTTTACTCCAGTATCATCTTGGCACTGGCAATAGATCTAAGATGAAAGAATTTCTTCCTTAACATTTTATTGTTGGTTGTGCTAGCCAGTCTTATACTTACTAATTGGATTCTTTCAAGCTGCAGCTGTTTGAGTTTTTGCCTTTTAAAAACTTTGTTTTGAACATTTTATTATTTTATGTTTATGCGTGTATTGCCTGCATTAAGTGCACCTGTGTCCTGCAATGTCTGTAAAGGTCAGAAGAGGGCATTGGATCCCATTGAATTTGGAGTTACAGATGGTTGGTAGCCACCATGTGGGTGCTGGGACTCGAACCTGGGTCCTCTGCAAGAACAGTCACTGCTCTTAACCACTGAGCCATCTCTTCAGTCCCAACTTTTTTTTTTTATGGTTAACATTTTTATTGTGGTATCCTTTTAAGATTCATCCAAGACAAAACAGTCCCAACTTTTTAAAAAAATTATTATTAACTGAGTCTTTGTATCTGTCAGGTATGGTGGTGCACATCTGTGACCCAAACATTTGAAAAGTGGAGGCAGAAGATCAGAAGTTCAAGGTCGGTTTCAGATACACATCAAATTGAAGCCTAGCATTGGCTATATGCGTCTGTCTGAAAAAACATAAAATAACCAACAGTGTTTCACCATGTAGCTCAGGCTAACCTCAAACTTGGAATCTGCCTCTGCCTTCTGAGGGCTGGGATTACAGGCAGGTGCTACCGTGCCTGCTTTGGGTATTTCTGTTTAATCTGCCCTGGTATACTCAGGAAGTCAAAGGCTTTGTATTTTCTCCCGGGTCTTGTCATTTCACAGAGATTGCATTTTGCCAAATATTTTTTTTTCTTCACGTTGTCATTAATATCTTCTCTAAAGTTTAGAGTTGGTGCCACATGCTGTTTAGTAGAGGGACAGCAGGGCATAAAGTAGAGTGGTGTCCCTGCTCGCTGAGATTTTCTCAGCAGGATAACTAAGCTATTTTGTTGTCACTTAGAATGAAGGACCCCTCCCCCTCGATGTTTTGCTTTGGAATTTGAGCTTTATTGTTCTTCAGATTTAACATATGCAAGTACGATATTTAAGTCGTTCATTTATCAGAAAAACAAGTGCATTAATATTAGGATGGTGATGATGGATTTAACAATTGTGCAACTCTCCAATCTGTTTTATAGGGGTGCATTAGAATTGAAGGAGACTACTCCTGTACAACTTTGGAAGGAAGGGTGAGATGAGAACGCTTAAAAAGTCTCTCTATCGCCGAGCGTGGTAGTCCACGCCTTTAATCCCAGCACTCGGGAGGCAGAGGCAGGAGGATCTCTGTGAGTTCAAGGCCAGCCTGGTCTACATAGTGAGTTCCAGGACAGCTGGGGCTACAGGGAGACCCTGTCTCAAAAAAGACCCCCCCCCCCCAAAAAAAAGGTCTCTTTATCCCCTGCGTTTGGCCAGCCCCACGTACATTCCTGCACAGAGAGTAGCTCTGGAGCAAGTTCTGCGCCTGTGGGCTAGCCGCCTGGCTCCGCCCCGGCCCGAGCCCCATCAGTCCAGAACTACAGTTCCCAGAAGGCCGCGCGAGCCCAGGAGGGAAGCAGAGCCGGGGCAGGAAAGGCGAGAGCTAGCGGAGGCGGGGGCGGCGTCGGGTTCCCTCAGCAGCGCGGTCTGTCCCACAGCTGTCAGAGCCCTGTACGGCCGCGGCTAGGAGCCCCGCGTTCCCAGGCACCGGACGCGCCTAGCTTGCTCCTCCGCCCGCAGGCTGGGCCGGGCGGGATGTAGGGCGCCGGGCGCGGAGGCCGCGAACGCGGCGGGGGCTTCCGGGAGGCCGCGCCGAGGATGGAGAGAGCGATGGAGCAGCTCAACCGTCTAACGCGCTCTCTCCGCCGCGCGCGCACAGTGGAGCTGCCAGAGGGTGAGTCGGCCGGACGAGGCTGGCGCTGCGACCGCTTCCGCTGGTAAACTAACCCTGCGCCGCGAGAACGCCCACTTTACTTTTTTGAGCCTCGCGGCAGCCTCGGCAACAACCAGTCTGCTGAGGGCCGGGCGTGGGCGGGGTGGTCCCGCACCCGGTTGGCCCTGACGTGCTCAGTGTCCTAGGAGCCGGGACACCTGCGGGCTTCGGACTCCTGGCTTCAGAAAACGTCCGGTCGGGGGCCTTCTGGTGGGCGCAGGACACTCCAGAGAGAGTATTTGCTTCAAGCTGCAGGGTGGGGTCGAGCGGACTCATATCAATTTTTTAGTATAGGGCACTGCTCAGTTTTGACAATAGAAGGTTGTCGAACCCCAGACTGGTATTTTAAAGCACTGTGCATAGTAGGTATTCATTTAGTAGTCATGCCTGCCTTCTTCGTTTAGTCATCAGACTGGCATTTATTCATAAACGTGTATTTAGTCATAGGCTTGTATGAGTGGGCTGGGTAGGAACAGGAGGTGCATGTACACAGAGCATTAAAGCTTCCCTGTGGTTCTGGACCTCCTGTGCTACAATTTCTTCAGGACTGACTGGCAAAATTACAATAATAAAGAGGTGATAAAAAAAAAAAAGCCAAGGAGTTTGCAGCCTTATGAATTTCGACATTTTAGTGGCATTGGGAGATGTTTGTAGCCCAGGCTGGGTGCAGACTTGGATTCTCCTGCTTCAGCCTTCCAAGAGTTGGGATTCCAGGCATATGTCAGCCGTGCCCAGCTTAGTTTGTGTTAGTCCATTTTTTCAAAACTTTAAATGGGCCGGATGGCTATAGTTTATGGAGGACAGCTTCGAGGGACAGCGACTTTGGGGATGATTTTCTTGAAAAAAAAAAATTCTTTAGGATTCGGAGTAAAAAGGTTTGTGGCAGTGATTTCTCAAAAATAATTTTGTATTTGTTACTTTGCTATATGAAGTAATTAAGTCCTTATCTTCGTTGTTTAGTAACTTCCGTTTTTTCTTGTTTAGTTTACTTTGAACTTTCACCTAGGAATCTGTTCACTCCCTGTTTATCTCACTTAGTTTTTGTAGTCCTGTTTTTTGGTGCCTGTTGATGAAGGCGGTGTGTGTAGTTTATTGACACTGCAATTTGTATTGTCTAACTTTATCATTTTCTTAACCTGTTCTTTGAGAAGTTTAATCAATATTCTGAAGGTTTGGAGATTAGAATATTGGAATTGAAACTTGCCCCCATGTTGCTAGACAAAATCAGCATATGGTTTGTGTTTTTTCTTTGATTACAATGAATTTTGTTTTGTTCCTTGAGTTTTTCTCTTTAAGTTCTGAGGATCCTTGAATTCTCTTAGTCTTGCTTTTTCAAGTAGATTATGTATAGTACATTCTAAAAAAATCACATGGTTGCAGTTGCATTTTAGGGCTGAACAGTGGACTGCTGAGATGGCTCAGATAAAGATGCTTATCTTGAAACATGGTAACCTGAGTTGGATCTCTGGACCCCATGTAAAGGTGGAAGGAGAGAACTGACTTCACAAAATTGAACTCCATACTTATGCTGTGATGCTTCCATACAGCACACATACACGCATATGCACACACGCACACACACAAAATTAAAAAAGGCTGAACAGATGCCCTAAGATTTTTCTAAATTTGAGAAATAATCAGAATTTTTTTGCCTTGTTAGAGTCAACAGTCAATAAGCATCTAATAAATTATTAAAGTCAGAGTTTGCAGTCAATTTTTACTCTAAAATTAACTTTGTTGCATAGTGTTGCATAGATTCTGGATTTCCTGAATAGGATGCTGAGAGATACTCTTACGTTAGCACTAAGGATGTAGAGCATGTTGTTGAGCCATCCCATGCTGGGCTAACACAGGACTAGTCTTCAGAGAAAAGAGGTGAGGGTAAAGACATTACGTCAGGGATATGGCTTCTTAGTGAACTTTAGAATACTCTGTACATTGTACACTATATGGAGAAAAGTAGTTAAAGCATCACATTTAAAGTGAACGTAGTTTGTTTAATAAGGCATATTTTAACATGCATATTTGAATCATGATTATGGTAATTATCAACTTTAAGAAATCACTCCCATCTTTTTTTATTAAATTAAATAAATTATTTTGAGAGAGGGTCTCCCTGTAGCCCCAGCTGGCCTGGAACTTGCTATGTAGACCAGACTGGCCTTGATCTCATAGAGATCTGTCTGTCTTCACCTTCAGAGTGCTGGGATTAAAGGCCTGGCCTTGATTTTTTTTTTTTTTTTTAAATTTTGAGTGTTTTGCCTGCATACATGTAAGTGCAGCACATACATGCAGTGCTTGTGGAGGCCAGAAGGGTGCATCACATCCTTTGGAAATGGAGCTAAGGATGTTTGATAGCTGCCATGTGGGTACTGGGAACCAAACCCACGTCCTCTGAAACAGTAGCTAGTGCTCTTAACTGTTGAGCCATCTCTTTTTCTCCTGAAATTACTTCATCTTAAGGAACTGAAAATACAGATAATGAATAGGAGTGTCTTCCTCACTCAGGTTTCCTGCTGAGTGGTTTAGTTCCAAAAGTGTATTAATAAAAGTGGCTGGTCTATCTGATAAAGCAAGAGATTAAACTTTTCTTGTCCCTTTGAAAACTTTAACTGTATGTCTACTTTTCAAGATACCTTCATGAGTGTAGAGAAGAAAGTATCTGAGAATAAATATTTAGCATAGTATTTCTTAGGTAGTCTCATTTTACCATTACAGTTGTCATTATATTTGTTTCACTATCCTTAGCATTTAGTGATGTGATCTGTATTTTAATAAGATCAGATATAACAGAATAAATGCACCTGCATTTTAATGAAAATAAAAGCTTTATCAATAAAATCAATGGAAACCTTATGAAACTCACCAGTGCTCACTTAAGTTGTGTGCTTTGTTTTGGTTTGTTTTCTTGAGATGGCCTCCATCTGGTAATGTAGCCTTGGCTGACCTGGTCAACTCCAAGGCAATCCTTCTGACTCCACCTCCTGAGTGCTGAGATTATAGATAAGTGCCACCATGTCAGGCTTGGATTGCCTAGATTGAGACATTCAAATCCACAAATACAGGTATTGCCTGTTTATGACTGTTTATCGTGGAGTGACTTAATTGGAGTTGTCATAGTTTAGAAGCTCAGGGTGAATAATGTGAGAAAAAAAATATTATAATGCCAAAGAAGCTTAGGGCAGTGATTTCAACTGTTTTCTGGTCTTAAAAAAAATTCTTGGGGCTGGGGAGATGGCTCAGTGGTTAAGAGCACTGACTGATTACTCTTGTAGAAGACCCAGGTTCGAGTCCCAGCACCCACATGGTGGCTATGAACCATCCTTAACTCCAGTTACAGGGGAATCTGAAACCCTCTTCTGACATCCACGGCATTGCACGACATGGATGCACTCACATACATGCAGGCAATACACTCATACACATAAAAAATAATAAAATATTAAAAAAAGATTCTTTGAGATTTCATACAGTGTATTTTGATCATATTCACCCCCTTCTCCACCTCCTCTCGGATTTCCCCTTTCTCTACCCACTCAACTTTGTGTCCTCATTTTTTAAATGTTTTTAACTTAAAAAATATTTTTATTGATTCTTTGAGAATTTTACAATGTATTTTGATCATATTCAGACACCTTCCCCTATCCCCCACCCCCTGCAGCTTCAAGACATCAATTATTATTTTTCTTTTTTTAAAGGCCTATGGAGTCTAATTTGGGTTTCCCAAATGCTCTTGGGTGTTGGTCTGCCTTTGGAGTCTGGTCCACCTACCAGGTGTCAAACCCTTGAAGAAAGCTGAGTCTTTGCTCTCTCAGCACTTCCTTAGCTAGGGCTGGGGGTTCTTGCCCAGCTCTCCCTTCCATGCTGGTATTTTGTTTGGCTTGGATCTACACAGGTCTTAAGTATGCTGTCAACAACTGCTGTGAATTCAAATGTGCAAATACCTGGGGTGTCCAGACAGCATTGTTTCCTTGTGTTCGTATACCACCTGTGGAACTTTTCATGATGATTGGTAGCTACTGAGAACAATATACTAGGTTGCGATCAGCATTTTAAAGAAATAGAAGAGGATAAAGACTATGCATTGTATATTGATAATATATCTATCTCTATCTCTATATCTATATATATATTAAGAATAGTATTATATTAAAAAAGAATGGTATTATATTGTGGACCTTTTGGTTATTGTGTATATGGGACTGGATCCTCCAAAAGAGCAGCCAGTGCTCTTACCAGCTGAGCCATCTCTCCAGCCCCATCCCTAGCCGTCTCTTTAAACCTCTTTCCTGTCCCCTCACGGGCCCCTTTCTAGCTTTTATTTTGTTTTGTTTTGAGACAGGGTTTCCCCCAGTAGCCCAGGTTGACTGTGTAGCCATCCTCTGAGGGCAGCCCTCTTGTCTCAGCCCTGGAGTACTGTGACAGGTAGAGCCACCATACCTGCCATATATTTAAGGTTTAAAATTATTTTAGCATTCGTATCTTTAATGTCTGTAATACTTAAAAAATTCCAAAATTAAACTTAATTACAGTAAAACAGGATGTCTGCAAAATACCCCTTTGGAAATAAAATTTCACTTGGTGAAACTGCAGAAAATACTAGCTCTCCGATTTTGTTTTTATACCCAGAAGCTAGGCTCCTCTATGACAGCATAGCAGGGATAACCAGTAAGAGGTGAGAAATTCTGCAGTGTTGTGAATTTTGCAATGTCTTTAGTAATCTGCACTGTTCTTACTTTATTTTGTCTCTTTTCACTTTTTATGTGAATTAAGAAAATTCTAATCTTACATATTGTATGTTGGAAAAAATAACAGCTACATTAATTCTTTTTCTGTTTATTTTTTACTTAGATAATGAAACTGCTGTTTACACATTAATGCCAATGGTTATGGCTGATCAGCACAGGTGAGTGCTTGTTTTATAAGTTTATGCTTTTTTTCTGGGTATAGGCTCTCATTCTGTAGCCCCAGTTTTGGCCTAGAACTTGCCATGTAGACCAGGCTGGCCTTGATCTCACAGAGATTCGCCTCCCTCTGCCTCCTGGGTGGTGGGATTAAAGGCGTGTGCCATCAGGCCTGGCAATTTATGCTTTTTGAGAGGTATAAATGTTGAGATGTTATGCATACACATACACACACACAGTGCTCTTGTAAAGACATACAGAGTTACTGGTTGTTGAAGGAATTTTATCCTTGTGGCAGTCACCTTATTTTAGTAATTGTGTACTTTGGCATGAAGGGAAGCAAGGAGAAAATATATAAAGAGAACAAAGTGAAGAGAAACTAATGAAACACATTTGAAATGTTATTTTTATTTTTTTGAAAATTTTTATGTGTATGAGTATTTTGCCTGTATGTGTATGTGTACTGCTTACCGTGCCTAGGGACCATGGAAGCTAGAAGAGGGTGTCAGATCCCCTGGAACTGGAGTTACAGATCATTGTTAGCAGCCATGTGGGTGCTGGGAACTGAACTCAGGTTCTCTGCAGGAGCAGCCGGCAGTATGATGAAAAAATGTTTTTGTCTTTATTCGGCTCACTTTTGACAAGGGAAGAAGCCAAGAACGCTCCCTTTGTTTCTCAAGAATCTTAAGAGAGCTGAAAGCAGCTTACTCTTGGGTGTCCTCAGACCAGGTAAGATAGCACTGTCCGAGTGGGAGAGCAGCACACCTCCAGTGCGAGATTATTGGTCAAGGGAATTAGGCTTCTTCTTTCCTTTCCTTTGTTTTTGAGACAAGATCTCACTGTGTGGCCTAGTATGACCTTAGACTTGAGGTCTTCCCACCTCAGCTTCCCACTGTTGGGATTACAGGTTTGTGCCAGCATGTTTGGTTGACTGATTTGGGATGTTACTCTGGTGACTGCTGTGCTATAGTAAGAGAACAGAGCCCTGCGTTTTTGGTAAATGAGAAGAAACTGAGTTAGCAAGAATTACTAAAAGACTGTTAATTTGAGTTAGTTGTCTTTAAAAACTTGTTTTTATGTATCAATTCCTTTTATTTTTTTGGCGGGGGTGTCATAGGTCTGTTTCTGAACTACTATCAAATTCAAAATTTGATGTCAATTATGCATTTGAACGGGTGAAGAGAAGCTTACTTCACATTGCAGCAAAGTAAGACTAAAAAAGATATTTTGCATTAAACTCTGGTCTAGAGTAAGTATCAGTTTTGAATTAGTGTTCTCTCAGTAATTATGGGGAAAGATAAGAACTGGCAGCCAAGTGGTTCTTTATCCTGTTTAGCCACAGTGTGCTGTGTAGTCTTTTGACATAAATTGTTTACTTTGATATTGAGCTCAAGTCTCCTGTTCCTGTTGTCTGTCCTACCTTATTTTAGGTTTGGCATAGGGATTGTCTAGATGTGTGTAGAGTGTGTTTTCACCAGAATTTCCTGTATCTCACCACTATAAGGGGTAAAAAGGACATGTTAACTACAGGTGAAGTCAAGAGCTCCATGGTTCCCCCTAGGTGGGAGTATTATTATTATTATTATTAAAATATTTTATTATTTTTATTTTGTGTGTATGAGTGTATTGCCTGCATGTATGTGAGTGTACCCATGTTGTACAGTGCTGAGCATGTCAGAAGAGGGCTTCTGATTCCCCTGGAACTGGAGTTAAAGACGGTTCATAGCCGTCATGTGGGTGCTGGGAATCGAACCCGGGTCCTCTACAAGAGCAGTCAGTGCTCTTAACTGCTGAGCTATCTCTCCAGCCCCAGGAGTATTATTTTTATTAACAGTCTTCTACTATGTAGTCAATCAATGGCTGATTGTTACCTGTCTTTTTGGTATTTAGATAGGTGTATTGAAATTAATTGTTCATGATTAACTAGCTTCTAGAAAACCAAAAAACATTAATTTTTTATTTTGGTTTGCTTGAGCTTGCTTTCATGGTACAGTGCAACATCTTGAAGATAGAGGATAATTTTTTGTGTGATACAGGTTAAATTTGTAGGTAAATTAGGACCTTCAGTAGGTTTTATTTGTTTTTAAATTTTGTCTAGTATGACTGTTGTATGTATCTGAACTGTCTTTTAATACTGTTTTAGCTGTGGATCAGTGGAATGCTTGGTTCTGCTGTTAAAGAAAGGAGCAAATCCTGACTATCAAGATATTTCAGGCTGTACACCTCTTCATTTGGCTGCTAGAAATGGGTAAATTTTAATTTTCTTAATGAACGTATTGTCAGTCCTAACAGTAGTTAAACAGTAGTTAATCATTCCTTCATTCTTTTTTCTTCTCAGTATTTGTCTTGAGAAAAATTACAAACACTTAGCATATTTGATTTTTTAGAATTATTTTTGGTTTCAAAGTCTGTGTTTTCTCTTTAAAGTAAGTCTTGGATTATTTTATTAAATTTTCAAATGACTCATTTAATAATCTATGAAATTTTCAGTAACGTTTTTCTTCAAAATGAAGATTTAGTATTTCTTGGATATAATAACATTTTACCTTATGTTTTTGTTATCTTTTTCCCTGATAATCTTTTTCCACTTTTACCTCCTTGGCTTATTTCTAAAACTGCTTGGTTAGAAATTTTATTAGTGTAACTAAAGACAGTGACTATGTTATTCCCAGTTTATAGTTTTTTGAGACTGAATTGTATTAGAGTAAGCTTTCTAGCTAAGGGTAGCTTCCAATACTGAACTTATTTTTCATTTATTTGTTTATTTGCAGTGCTTGAGATTTAGTTCAAGGCCTTGTTCATGATAGGCAAAAGTTTGACCTCTGAGCCATACCCACAGCCCTATTTCTTATTTAACTGGTGTCTTAGTTTCTTTTCCTGTTGCTATGATAAAAGACTTTGACAAAAACAACTAAGGGAGAAAAGATTTATTTTGGCTCACAGTTCATCTTAGTGAAGTCAGGCAGCAGAAGCTTGAAGCAGCTTCTCATAGTTCCTCTGCAGTCAGGAAGCAGAGAGTATTGATTGCATGCTGCTGCTCAGCTTGCTTTTTTCGTTTACGTAGTCCAGGATCTCAGTCAAGGAATGGTGTCACCCACAGTGTGCTGACCTTCTTACTGCAGTTGATGAAATCAAGATAGTCTTCCACTGGCATGCCCAGAGACTTGTTTCCCATGTGATTCTAGATCTCATAGGCCTGACAATTGAGATTAACCATTAAAATGGAGAAAAAGTTATCTAAGTAAATAATTTTTTTTTTTTGTCTTTTTGAAGCAGGATCTCCCTGTAGCCCCAGCTGTCTTGGAACTCACTATGTAGACTGGGCTGGCCTTGAACTCACAGAGATCTCCTGCCTCTGCCTCCTGAGTGCTGGGACTACAGGCATGTGCCACCACGCCCAAAGTAAATAATGTATTTAAAAGAAAAAGCAACACTAGTGTTTCCAAAATGTGAAAAATTTAAAGATGGCATATGTTTTTGTTTTTTTCCTTGAGAATCCTGGTTATTCCTAATTTTAAAAATATTTATTATTTATATTTTTTTAATTGTTTGGTCTTTTTTTGAGACAGGGTCTCCCTGTAGCCCCAGGTGGCCTGGAACTTACTATGTAGATGAGGCTGGTCTTGAACTCACAGAGGTCCACCTGCCTCTGCCTCCCAAGTGCTGGGACTAAAGGCGTGTGCTACCACACCTGACTTACTATTTTTATTCTATTGTATGAGTGTATTACCTGCATGTGTATAAGTGTACCCATGCTGTTCAGTGCTGGAGGAGGTCAGAAGAGGGCATTGGAGTTATGGATGGTTGTTAGCCACCATGTGTGATAGGACTCGAACTAATTGATACCATTTGTTACTGTGTGCTTTTTTCAGCCCTATTATGCTTTTGATGATGTTTTACTGTCTTTTTCTGCCACATAATTCAGGTGTCACATTTCTTTTCCTTTACCCTGCTTCTTAAAATTCAGTAGGATTGAGGAATGATACCACAATGATTGGAATTAAATTGAAAATGAAAATAGATAGTTTTTGATCCAGGCCTTGAGAAATTTAGGTTTATAAGTCTGTTTTAAATACTGTAAAACTTCTCTGTCAATATACATTCCTGTTGTGACCCTTCTTTTAGTTAATCCTATATTTTGGTTTCTGTTCTGGACAGGGATTCTAAATAATGGACATGGCAGCATAAATGAATGACTGTGGAGATAAAATTATCCATTGCATTAACTTGAGACCAAATTTTTCATATAAAGATGCATATTGAACCGAGAAGATATGAACCATAGTTTTGCTTAGAGTAGGTAGGGGAAAGGCATAGTATTTGGTCTAAGGTCTGTTTGATCTTTCCCACTTCATAAATTAATATGTGAGCCAATTTAATTGTTCACTGGCTTAATAGTAACAAGGTGCCAATTAAACAGCTCTTTGTACTTGCCACATTAGGTGTGTTGTAATGTGTCATACCTAGAGTCATAGAGTAAATCATTATCTTTCAGGTATGTTAATTTTAGTGATAGGATAGATAATGACAAAGATCTTTCTTGAAAGGTTACCTATCTTAGAATGTCTCTGAATACCTATAAAGGAAAGGACAAATTGGTACAGAGGAGGGGTGGAAAAAAATCCTCTGACTTAAACACACTCTGTGTAAGGACCAGGAAATAGGTATCAGACTTGAAAGACACCGTATTCTTGGTCTGCTAGAAAGATTTTCCAGGTAAGGTTTTCCTGAAATAAAGTGCTTTTGAAGCACATATGAAATACTTTTGACCACACTTTGTCAATAACAATTGAAAAAAGATCATTACCTTCCAAAGGTGGAGAAGTAGGACAGCTATTACATGACTCATTTAGCAAGTCAACAAGATGAAAAACAGTGAGTTTGTGACCTAGTCTTTAATTTGGATGCCTTTCTACTTCTAACAAGATTATTTTGACATTCAGTGCTTAAACATTAAAATTTTTATTGCTTATTGAATGGATGCCTTGTACAGTGTAGAGGTACTCAATAAGTTTTTACTAACGACTTTGTTACTTCCTGGAGCTACTGATATTTTCAGGAATAGCTTTCTACTATAATTGTGTTATGAAGTCATATTTGTCTATACTGAAGTCATAGAATTTCATCCTTTTTGCTGGTCCAGTTTGGTGTCTTTTGCTCCCTCGTCTGTCACTGTCAGGTGGACAGAATCTGTTCCTTGACCGGCTTTAGTATTTCTCTTGTCACCATTAG